TTTTCTTTCTGCAGCTGTGCAGCCTCCATGCCACACATTGATGCTCGAGCACAGGATGCTCTCCACTGCACACCTGTAGAAGGAGGTGAGGACTGAGCTTCCCAGACCAGCTCGCCTCAGCCGTCTGAGGAAGTAGAGTCTCTTGAGGACTGATGGGTGAGTTTTCTTTGGCACTGGATCAAGGCAGGAGGTTTTCCACAACATTGGAACCTTCTCCTGGGTCAGGCTAAGGTTGAAGAGGTGCTGCAGAACCCCACAGAGCTACTCTACACATACCTTCAGGACTCTGGGACTGACACCATCTGGACCTGCAGCCTTATTCCGGTTCAGTCTCTCCAGCTGCTTTCTCACCTGACTTCTGGAGACGCAGAGGAGGGAGGCAAAGGAGGTATCAGCATCTTCTGATTTGGTTTAAGACCAATATGTAGAAGAAGGGTCCATGACTGAGGTGGTAAATACAGTATTTGAGGTGTGACAGGACAGCCTTGGGTCAAAGGAGGGTGGTATGTATGTTTGGCTGTGAGCAAGAGAGGAGGATGCTGAGCTTGTTCCTGAACTGAACCTATTGAAGAATGTGTTCAGTTCGTTGGCTCTGTCCAGGCTTCCATCCTTCTGATCCTCCTTCTGCTTGAAGCCTGTGATTTTTTTCATCCCTGACCACACCTCTCTGATATTGTTCTGTTGGAGCTTGCTCTCCAGCTTCTTCTTGTACACCTCCTTGCTGTTTCTTATCTTGGCTTTTAGTTGCTTCTGTGTGCTCCTCAATAATTCCCTGTCTCCCTCCCTGAAGGCTCTTTGTTTCTGGTTTAGCAGTTCCTTCAAACAGGCCAAACAGTAAAATCTGATTTTTTTTTCAGGAGTTGGATCATCAACACTACCTGTCAATCGATCAGTCAAGCAGGCTTGTCAGCAACTGACCAATTAGTGATCTCAATTTGTCTTGAGCTGAAACGCCCCTTACCTGCAGGAGCTGCACCCCTTTTCCACCGACAGCATTATCAATGTTTTGCATTTCGAACACTTTGCGGTCAGAGGGATTTCGTGAAAAATCAGCAGAGATAATGGTTAAACGTTGTCCGTGGAGAACATGTAATTCAGACAGCGTTTGAGCGTTTACGTGGGTGGAATACAGTTTATTCCATTTCCAAAACCTAAACAAAGTCTGGAAAAATGTAAAAGATGGATACACAGTCCTGCAGCCGACCTCATGAGCAGCTGAATACAACAGTGATAAACAGGAAATACCACAGGTTCATCTGTATGTAGGTAACTGCAAGTAAATCCTCCATAATGCTTAAAGCTAGTTGTGCTTTGTTTTGTGTTTTAAATGTAGATATATGTTGCAACTTCTGGTTGCATAAGTTTAGTCTTTATTTGTTAGGATCAGTTAACACTAAACTGATTTTGTACAAAGCATTTATCAGGTTGTGTAATGTATAGCATCTTAGCTAGCTCATCTGTAATGTACTCCACTAGCTTAGTGCTACTTCTTGTTGTTCCATGCTCTCTAAAATGTCATTGAATCAAGTGTTTACTTACGTAAGTAAACATAGATGTTTAAATTCCCGTTAAAATACACCAGAATGCAGGAAATGGAACTCAGCCATTGTTAACAATGGGGGCTAAGCACCCCTAAAGGTAAGATTCTAGAATTGCCCCTGCATTTTAGTAAAACAAAACAATAGGCCTAATTGATGGCAGAAATTTGGTTTTTATCAATCAACCTTTATTTATACAGGTAAATCCCATTGAGCCTCGAGGACTCATTTACAAGAGAGACCTGAAAAAAGTCTACATGTCTACAAAGTCTACAAAGTTTACATGGTCTCTTTCAAGTCAAAATGTCTGCTGTGAAGTATTACAAATAACTGCACTTATTGTACATTCTACCGTAATTTCCGGACTATAAGCCACTACTTTTTTCCACACACTTTGAACACACCACGGCATATACAATGCTGCGGCTAATTTCTGTATTTTTATTTTTATTTTTGATGTGCTAACGAGCTTCATGCCACCAAAACATTTATCTTCGTCACACCCAGATGCTCACATACCTGCCCAATACACGGCTCTCTTGGGTGGTAGCGATCAATGACGTCCTGGTAGACTACTGTATTGTTTTATCAGCTGTGTTACAGGCACTGTTCAGAAAAAAAAAGCATTCACTGTATTTGTGTGTGTTACCGGTACTTATTCAATTAAAAGTAAAATAATATACAAAGTATATTTCTGTGTAAATATCTCATGTTACAATGTGAACACCCACAGCTTATACACAAGTGTGGTCTATTTATACCATACCATACCATACCATACCAGCTTTATTTATAGAGCACTTTAAACACCCACAGGACCAAAGTACTGTACACACAACAAAACAATCATAAAATCAGATAATAAAAGTGATTAAAATGATTAAAGTCAACATCTCAGATGGTGTCAAAGGTCAATGAGAAGAGATGGGTTTTATGATGTTCAAATATCCATCCATCCATTATCTTTACCCGCTTCTTCCATTTTGGGTCACGGGGGTCGCCGGTACCCATGTCCAGCAATCACTGTGCGAGGGGCGGTGTACACCCTGGACGGGTCGCAAGTCCATCATAGGGACACATAGAGACAAACGAGACAAACAACCATTCACTCTCTCACTCACACTATAGGGACAATTTAGAGTTACCAATCAGCCTAACATGCATGTTTTTGGTCTGTGGGAGGAAACCGGAGTACCCAGAGAAAACCCATGCATGCATGGAGAGAACATGCAAACTCCACCCAGAAAGGCCCCTGGACCGGGGTTTGAACCAAGGACCTGCTTGCTGAGAGGCAGCAGCTCTACCTGTTGCGCCACCGTGCTGTCCATGTTCAAATATGTAAAATGTTAATTTTCTTTTTAAATTTAGCGGACACGGCTTATATTCAGGTGCACTCAATAGTCCAGAAATTACAGTATATGCATCTTCACTGGTCGGAAAGCATCTTAAAAGTGCCAGCAAATCCTCAGTTACTCCAGCGTTGGCAATTAGTCCATGCTATGGCGATCACATGTCTGGGATTGTTTTTGATGAGAGGAGGAGGGTAATTCTTTCGACCGTCTGACTTACAGGATGACAGGTAATTGGCTAAATGTAGAGGGCAGAGCAGGCGTAATCCAATAGATGTTCTCAGTGAGCATATTTATGGAGCAAACATATCCTTTAAATCCAAAAGTAAAAGAAGAATAATTATGCAGTGTAGTTGTGCTGTAGATGCAAATTGCTGTATTTATTTTTTTTTTTCAACTTTTCTTCTTGTAGATTTTTTAATAACTCACCTATTATATGTTAGGACAATTAATAAATGCTTGACAATATAAATGACACAGATTGGTGCACATTTGTTCAACAGATTGTTTTCTTGCTATCACTTTGCCCTATTTTGTAAGGCGATAGCCGTCAATCAGGACAGAAATACACTCAGAAGAATGGATTTTAAATGATTATGACCTCCACTTATCACAAGCATCAACAATGAGAATTATTTAACTCACAACGAGTTTAAATGTCTAGCAGACTAAAGCAAATTCAACTCAAAGACAGTAGAGTGAGTCTAAAAAAGGCAACGTTGTTGGTCAGGAAGAGGGCCAGCTGGCCGACAGTGACGATACTTTGAGGGGTGTAGGTGGGATTGAACGCAGAGGTGATCCACTGAGTTAACCTAAAGGGACAGATGGTAGGCTGGAATTAGACAAAAGTGCTCCCTGAAATAACAAACAGAACTTTTTAATATTTTGCCCGAGTTATTCCGAGAGATTCCCAAAGCACAACGACTAGTTTCCAAGTTTGTGATTTTGTGGCATCCAAGTACTTCTCAATGTTATAAAGGGTTGCACAATAATAAAAATCTGCATGTGTTGAGACATGTTGGGGCATTGCAGGAATCTGTAAGTAATTTAAACTCAATATTTATTTCAAAATAGCAGGAAGACAACAAAATGAATGTTGAAATTGAAACTTTTTTTTTTTACTTTTTACTGTTAATCTCAGCAGTTGAGGGGGAAAGAGTATCACTGTACATGTTTTCAATAAAAATAAGAATCTAAAAATTGGTTGTCTCCTTAGAGAATTGAATAGTTGATTTGATAGATAATTCCTTCATAACCTTCTACTAAGTTATCCATGTTTTCAGAATAAAAACGTTCTGAAAGTTTAAGAGATGTTTAAATGAAAGGCTTTTAAAGAAATGCTTGCGACTCTGCCTTGAATGCCCTCATTTAAAAGAAAGATTTCACATAGTCTGGGATTGCTTGGAGTATGTGTTGAGGATGACTCTCAGCTACTACCACTCCAAATTTTAGCCAAATATATTTAAATCTGGTGGAGTTTTAGCATTTCTTGTGATTTTTAGGGATGATCAATTGTGGCAGCCATCTTGAATCAGGCTGACTCCAAAAGATGATCAGTTGCTGAACTGTTTCATTAAACTCCTTCCAGTGATTCATGAGATGTTTTGCTAACACGGCAGACAATCTCTCTCACATACACAGAGGCAATTATATGCCCTTCTTTTATAGCTGCAGGCGATAAAGACTGACAGAGCATTTCTCAAAAGTTTCAGCTGCTCTAGTATTTTTTTCCAGGAAGGCAGGTGTCTTGTTAGCTTTAAGAGAGCAGCAGCATTTCCAGATCTTGTTTTTACTTAATGTCTCTTTTGCCTTTGCTAAGTGAAGCTTTTACTTGCATAAGCAGAAAAAAACACTGTGTTCACTGGCAAACAATTCTCAGGACTGTGTCTGGGTCTACGCTGGATAAAAGTCTGCATCAGACAGCATCACTTGGTATCAGTTACTACGGATGATGTAGAACTTTCTGGATCCTCAGGTGTAGCACAGAAACTTAGGATACTGGGGTCATTTTAGTTAAACACTCATCCACTTTAAGTCCCGCATTAACAGAATTAACCCAGTCACCTCCTGTAGGGGTGTTTCCCATTACCCTCCTTATCCCTCCCCATATGACAGTTGAGATAAACAGTCAGTTCTGCAGCCACTACCTGCCTGCGCAGCACACAGGTAAGATTTCCTCTGCATCTTGGATCAAGCCTACGATGCTAATGTTAAATCCTTGGGAATAATTTCTAGCATTAACATTTAAGATATGATGCTTGTCTCTTTCAGGGTCCATTTGTGCTTTTACACCCAAATCAAGTGACGTCTGGGAGCATAAAAAAAGAAAAACATTTGGACAGAAATCTTTTTTTGGGGTTGGAAAAGACGAAAGACATCTGAAGGACTCAGGTGGCCAGGAAGTTTGACAGAGCTGACAGGTTACACAGCATCTAAAAGGCATCTGCCATGGGAAATACCACCAGCAGCGCAATATCAAAGGAGATCCTGGAGGACCTGAAGCTTAGCACCAAGTTTAGCGAGACTGAAATTTCCCAGTGGTACGAGAACTTCCAGAAGCAGTGTCCCACGGGACGCATCACGCCAGAAGAGTTTGAAGAAATCTACACCCGCTTCTGCCCCGAGGCTGACGCCAAGAGCTACGCACGGCACGTGTTTCGCTCCTTTGACGCCAACGACGACGGCACTTTGGACTTCAAGGAGTACATCATAGCGTTGCACATGACCTCCAGCGGGAAGACGACCAGGAAACTGGAGTGGGCCTTCTCGCTGTTTGATGTGGACAAGAACGGATACATCAGCAAGTCCGAAGTGAAAGAAATCTGCCAGGTGAGGGCGATTCGTTGGGTGTTGTGTAAATCTGTTCCAGCAAGACAGAAATCAGAAAAAAATAACCTGCTTCAAATGAGTAACGACATCTCCGGTACCTTAAGAAGTGGAGTATCAAACGTGGTTTACCCTTGTGTTATTTTAACCTTTTTAGGCTTTTTAAGTACTGATTTGCTAAATTTGCTGTCTTATGTTCAGTTTGACAGCAACTGTGTTATTTCCTCATTGGGAAGTCAGATATTTCTGTTTGTCTTATCCGTCTTCTGTTCAGTCCATCTTAAGAGTGATGCTGTTTTGTAGGAGTCATCAGTCCTAATGGTATGTAGGTCTCAGTCGTGATTGTCAGTCCAATTAGCTGTCGATTTGACCTCATGATAATCTCAGTGATTATGGGTTTAGCTGTCAGAGAGAATAGGCAGTCCATATTTATACCAAGGATGCTTTTTGAGTTACCAGACTATCCATCACCTCCAGTCTAACCCAGGTTCCTGTAAGGTGAATCTCCTGCGTTGACGGACGCAAGCCGTAGTTCTTTGGGTTTCCAAAATCTCTGCATTCTGTTTTAAGACAAATAATAAAGGGTTTGTAAGAGGTTTACGAAGATCAGCTGAGAATCCAGCTTGAATTGTAATAGGATTTATTTCCTGACCAACTGGCCTGGGTCCAGAAGTGTTGCGTTTACACTCGCTGTATGAAATAACTGCATTTTAAATAATCGGCAGTGACATAATCAGCACTGAACTTTAAACAGCCTTTCACAAAATAAAGTGGTTTAAACTTTAGTTTTATTTTATGTAGAGCACGACGTAAGGAAGCAAACATACCCTGAACGAACTGTAATAGTGTCTTGTGTTGTTTACAGAACGTTATTGAAAGATTTGATGTATTCTAGATGTAGAATCAAAGCAGGAAACCAAAACGAGGAAGGCACCGACAGAGCAGACTAGCTAAAGAACGCTTTATTCAACGTTGAGCAGCTGCTTGGCACTGCTTCATTTTATGTTTATAAATGACTACAACCTTACAACCTTGTTGTGTAGAAGTGATTAACAAGATTATCCATACGTAACCACGTCTACCGGTTTGAACTTTGCAGACTCCGAGATCAGCAGGGTGAGACAGAAGGGCAAGCGCAGCCAAAGAGGAGTTGACATCTCGGCTTTTGGCCTGTGGCTTGAGTCATGGCACTAATCCACGTTAATCTAGGTGTCTTAAATGTGGGAGATAAGTGCATCGTCTCTAAGTGGGACACGGTCTTAAAGGCCCAAACTTGAAGTGCACAGCCTTTCAGTCATTTACCACCCAGTGGATTTGAAATGACCCACTGCAGAGCTCTAAAAGTGGACACACAGGCTGGTGAACACGTACCTGATTTACAGTGAATTATGACCCAAATAAAGAAAATAATCATTGAAAATTAAGGTATTTTTTGTAAAAATTCACAGCACACAAATGAACCTAAGAAGCAGGCGAATTTCCAATTTGTTCCCATCTTTTGGACACAGTTCTGTCCTGTTTAGACGTCCAGAGTAGCTGAGTGGGATAAATATTCATCTGTTCTACACTCCACCACCCCCCCACCCCCCACCCCCCTCAGGCCATATTTAAGCTGATCCCCGAGGAGGAGCAGAAGAGGCTACCAGAGGATGAGAACACGCCCGAGAAGAGAGCCAACAAGCTGTGGGCTTTCTTTGATAAGAGGGACAACGGTAAGAGGCATTGTATGCACAACAGTGAGGGTTATTTTCAAATAATGGGAAATGCCCTTTCTTGGTTTTTATTTACTTTAATATAAATAATTATTATTGTATTCTATTACACCTTCATCGAGGAACTCTAACAACAGAGTCTGGCCTGACGTCAAAAGTACAAATAGATATACTGGTGAACATCTGCACTGTTGCTATAAAAACAGGGTCATTCTCCCTCGTGTGCATAAATACACACAACAGACAGAAGAAGGGATCTATCTTTTCTCATCTCTTCTTCTTATGTAGATCTCATCACAGTTTTTTTTTTTCAAGATTTAACACTTTATTCTCCATTTTTATTTCCTTCACAGAACGGCTGGCTGAAGGAGAGTTCATCAAAGGAGTGATTGAAAATGAGAATGCAATGCGTCTCATTCAGTATGAACCAATGAAACATTAAAGTCATTCTTATTTATCTCCTTTTTTCATATATTTCTACTTTTATTTTCCTTTTCCCCCATTGAGATCAGACTCTCCACCCTCCGCTTAACCCTCCTGCTGCCCTTGGGTCAAACAGACCCACGAGGCCTCAGTTTTAAGATTGAGGCCTCTAGGCCTGTCACGATAACAAGTTTTGCTGGGCGATTAATTGCTTCAGAAATTATTGCGATAAATGATAATATTATTTGAAATTTGACAATAATTAGTAATTATTGCCAAATTCAAGAGAAATGTTTGTTAATTTGTTTTGCGTGAAGTACCTTTTTTCATCCACCGGATGCAGTACAAGACTGAAACGAAGGATGGATAGTGAGGGAGCGAGCAGCGTGTCTATTTAAGAAAAATGGGAGGGAGGCCCCTTGACGTGAAATGGGCTGTCTCTCTTTGGTTCTCAAAATGGCGGACGCTTGGTGTGGTTTGAGCGCTTTAGCATAGCATTTTTCACACAAAGCTTCTAATTAAAAAAAAACAGTAAACAAGTTCTCAGCTTCTTTTTGCAGAGAAAAACAACTTTTTACATGAAGGCATGGGTTTCAACCGGGAATTTTGGAGCTTCGACAAGACGGAGTTTTTTTCCTGAGGTCGACCTGTTAGCTTAGCTCCTAGCTTAGCTTCTCAACTTAGCTGCTTTTAGTTTTAACGATCCAAAAACACGATTTTGGACAATTACAATAGATTTTAAAGAGAAAAGAGAAAGGGAGGGGGTCAGTGAAGAGCATCCAGTGTCTTCAGTAGAAAGAGAGAGACACGAAGAAATGATAAAGCCGATAAATGAAAATGAGGTCGATAATTTTCATTTATCATGCGATTAATTGATTTATTGTTTATTGCGACAGGTCTAGATCGAGGCCTCGTGGGTCTTTTGACCCAAGGGCAGCAGGAGGGTTAAGTCAACACCCTTCTGTGTAAATACTTTGTTCTTGCATTGTCATGGTTGCAACCAAGTTTCCAGGAAGGTTTTTGATTTTCTTTAACCATTTGTGAACAAATTTATGTAAAATAGGAGACACTTTTTGAAGTAGCATTCACAGCCAAAGATGAGGTTTGTGGTAACTACATAAAACAAATGAATAAAAATGCAAATATTCTATTGTCGGATGTATTCTTAATTTTTAAATGTATTAAAAAACTTGGGTCTAGCTCGTTTAGTTGGTTTTTCACAGACTTTTGAATGATTTTGATTGAGTTTGTAGCTCTCGAGTGTTGTGCTTCATTCACGGAACAATAAATTAAAGGCTTTCTCATATCTGTAGTTCGGAAATCAATTTATTCTTCTTTCCCCAATTCCCCTTTGACCCAGAAACTTACTTTAGATTGTCATGCTGTCGTTAACATAAAGGGTGCTTTAGCTGTTAGGTTTTTAGTTGTTTTAATCCTCAGCGGTAAATCCAGGATTATCTTAAAAGTGAAACCTACAGATATTAAAGGAATAATTTAGATTTTTTTTAAAGAAGGATTCTGTGAAAAGATCATGAAAAAGGAATATCTTACCTGTTGTAGATAGCTTTGAACAGCATAATTTGGAAAAGTATATTTCTGAAGGCATTGACAAGATAACAACTCAAAGTGACTAAAACCAGAGTGGACTGTTCTCATCTTAAAACAACTCCAGTCTTTAAAATCCATAAAGCTAAATGCAAACAGCATTTTATGAACTTTTACACTGCTCTAAACATAACATATCTCCAAATTATAATTATCCTAGCAGAATAATTTGCGTATTCTTGTCTAAAGTATCCCAGGCTGCGCTGGAAATACTACCCATAATAGTTTCTGCTATTGCTTTTTGCATTTGCAAGCAACTATAAAATTCCAGGTAAATAACTAGAATACAAAGCTGACAGTGATGAAAAGATGGAAAAAGATATTTCTTATGAAAAGCTCTCAAATGTTTGTGGTTGGAGCCATTTTAAGATGGCGGTAATCTAATTTGGTGTTGGACCTGCTTAAGCCAGTTTGTCTTTCCAGTCACAAATAAACCATTTTTTCTCCAAACTGAGGCTGTTCAAACAGATAAGATATTATTAATTTGTAATTTTCTACAGAATCTTACATTATAAGGTCTGTTTCTAACAAGAAAACAAGAAAATACCCATGCCTCGGCTCTCAGTGTCAATAATTTTTACATCATATTAAATCATAAAGAACCAAAGAACGCCCTTTTCTTTATAACATTTATAATTTCCTCTCAGTTATTAACTATTTCAACACACATTCAAAGTTAAATGGTGACAAGTTTAGGATTAAATAAGAAGGAAACAAATATTGGTTAAAAAAAAAAAAAACAGTACCATTGTTGTTTTGGTTTCTAAGGCACAAAGTGATATGAGCACGTGGGAACTAAGTAGGCTCTAAATCATCATTTCTTAAAAGTTCTGTGTTGAGTCTGCACAAACCCACCAAAAATTACATTTTTTTTAAAAGTCTCCACTGTGGAACGTTTTGTTAATCTCCATTTTTCCACTAAAAACACGGTTCATGTGTGCACGAAAGACGCAAACGCAGCAGATTTCTCTCCTTTTTTAAAATATCCAAAGTAGTGCAGATGGGGCTCATAATCTTTTGTTTCAAATTAAAAGCACATTATTTATCATTTATTTCCCTGATTGTGACACACTTTAATGCTGCAGATGTTAAAGTGTGTGTGTGGGCAGCACGTTACTGTGTGCCAGTATTTCTATCCAACTTCCATTCTGTTCCCCACCCCAAAGCACTCTTCTTCGTATTTTTTTTTTTTTTACATCTCTCCACTCTTTTCCTCCCTCTTCCCATCCAACTTGGGATTAACGCTTTACTCATAATCTTCTGTTCAACATGAGAGAGCAGACTCTCCAAAATCTCTGTAATCATTTTATCTTGATGGGGTTTGTCTGTGCTTCTTCACAGAAAATGCAGCTGTAAGTTGGATCTTTTGGTTTAAATGTGCTCAGATATTTTAGTTTGTCACCAGAAAAAATTACCTTAAACAAACAAACAAACAAAAATCATAATATATTGTCAAAATTATGACAAGAATTCATCTTAGAGACATTAGATGCATAAAATAAACATTTATGAATTTACATATAATATAAATATACAATTTTTCCCATTAGGCACAGTAACGTATGCAGAAGACATGCAGGTTTGCATGTTAGTGTCACCTAGGAGTTCATAATCATCTTAACAGTTTGATATGTGTTGATTTCACTGACCTTTGCTCACAGTGAGCTGCATCCCAAGCTGACAGGAAGTCAAAATAAATCAAAAATAAAACAGTCCATCAGCGCAGTGATACGGTCCTTCTTATTCAGTTTCATCTAACAAGGTGAGTCGACTCTCTCTATGGCCTCTTCCATCTCATCCCTCTCTCTTTCACAGTCCTCACACCCTTCTGGCCCACAGCCCCCCACCAAAACCAGCGTCGGTACGTCCCCATTTCCCATTCCCACCACGCTTCCATTCGGGGCCCATGCAACATCGATTATGCCATCTGGACAGTGCAGCAGGCCGCTGACAGAGTAGAACCCTCCTCCCGGAACGACCTCGTCATACGTCGGTGCGTGAGCGGCGGCTCTCGCTTCCTCCAAGCGAAGTCTCTGCCTGCGACGGATTTCAATGATGGTCTTTGTGTAGGAGTTGAGCGTCACCACAGCTGCCCCCATGCAGCAGCTGAAGGACACCCAGGCAAGGCTGAGAAAAGACAAGTTAGACTCGTAAGGGGGTGAGAAGCTCTCTGTAGAAACAACTTGTTTAAAGCCACCTACGCGAAGGACCAGCCGTAGTCCCAGGACTGAGGTCTCCAGTCTTTAGGTCCCACAATGACTGTCATCTGAAATACGGTGGTGAACATCATATGTGCTACCATCCCAAGAAGACCTGTACAGGAAGTGAAACAAAAGAGAATGAATTAAACCCTGTGCTGAGAGAACGATAAAGAAACGCTGTAAATCTGAAGTAAACCCTCACCTGACAGCACAGTACAAATAGCAGCGAAGGCATTGATCTTCAGCGCATGCATCTCTTTATGGGAGCACATGATTTCCAGGCACATCAGTAAGAAGCCCATCCCCAGCAGGCCGATGTATGTAAACTCAGAAACAACTGACAGCCAGAGCACGCCTGCAACATGTGCAATCAGTAATGAAAAAAGGTGGATTTGACTGGAAGAAGTGGGAATTAACGCCAAGCTTACCTTGTGTATCTCCGGGAGTTAGGTCGATGAAGCTGCGACACACCTCCCCTGCTAACAACATGTAAAGATTTAGGCCCAATACAGAAGGTTACCAAGTATTAGCAGATGTGGTTTTGAAAGCTGCACACCCAAACGGCACTAAACGATGAACTTTTAATTGTCTCACCATCGTTTTGTTCCTCGCAGCTTTCCCAGAAGCCGGTGTGGAAATATCTAAAGGCAAACTTGTCCTCCCCCGTCTCCCAGATGTAGTGAACCGCGTTGGCCAGCTGCCTTTGCCTGATCTTGGCCAGCTCCTCTCTTCTGGCTGGAGAAAGAGTGCGGTTGAACGGGTTCTGAGTGGGACTCTCTGTGAGGAATGACACAAGGGAACGGTAGTGAGAAAATTATTTTTTTAAGGCTTTTTTTTTTTTTTTTTTTGCACCTGCATGCTCATTTTTTTTTTTTTTTTGTATTATTTTGTTCAGTTTCAGCCATTGTCTTTACAACTCTGTGAAAGAAAAGTTATAACTATTCCAGTTTGCAGTTTCATTTTAACCAGACTGATGAGCCAAAAGCTAGTACAAGCAGGCTCAAGACCAAAGTGGATGGTTGCCATTATTAAAACAACACTAATTTCAAACAGTTTTTGACTGAACAGCTATAAAACTTTCAAAACCTGAACTGTTTTAAGACGGCAGCAGTTCACGTTGGTCTTGGCTTTGCTCTAACTAGTCTATAGCTTGTCAATCTGGTCAGGACTAAACTCTATTTCACTAAAGTGAAGCTTTAAGCAAAGACATCTACAACAGGTAAGATGTTTATAATCATTTCACAGAACCCTACTACAGATGATCAGAACTGTCCCTTTTCGACAGATTCACTGATGAAAATGAAAAACTATCTGTTTACATCAGGAAGAAAATATGCAAAAGCAAAATGGTGGTTTTGATTTTTCACTGTCAGAAATCTAGCACAAGCGGAGGCCTGTTAAAGAAACACATGAGAACAGACTTATTTTAAATTTCAGTGTATTATCTTTTCACATGAAGCCTTCCCTTCACAACCTCTTTTACACCACGCATGCTTTTCTAAATCTAGCTTCCAGTGCTGTATATCAGTTCTTCCTAAACAAGCACATAAAGTACTGATCACGGTAATCCCATTGTGGATTAAGCATATCACAAAAACCTGAGCTTGGGCAGTGTCGACCTCTCTTCTATAGACAAATAAACATTTGGGAGACATCCAGCACTTCCCCAGAGATTAAATACTAAACCACAATTAAGTTCATCTTGAAACTGAGCTTCTGACATAAAGAGATTAAAAAACAAGAACAATCACTTTCAGGGAGAAGTGAGATTTGCCTATTTATCCAGTCGGATTAGTCTGAGGCATTGGTTGGAAGGCAGAGAGGGTGTAAAGTTCAAGAAATGAATCTTGTGTAATCGGTTTTTGCTGGTGAAGGTGAAAAATTTAGACAAATCAGTGTCAGAGAGCTGCATTTAAAACCGGCAGCCACTAGGGAGCACAAGCCAGTGTATCTCTTGTGATGGTCCGAGCCCGGGTCAATGGTGAGGGTTGTGTCAGGAAGGGCATCTGATGTTAAACACTTTCACCAAAACTAATATGTGAGTTCATCTGAGCGACACTATACTGAATCGGGCAAGGCCCGAGTTAACAACGATTGACACCGGTTCTGTTGACGAACAGGGTGCTGGTGGAAATTGTGCTACTGTTTTAGTTGAAGACCATGAGAAGTTAAACATGTCAGGAGACAGAGGGAGAAGAGGAACGTCAAGAATGTAGGTCTGAGGGTTGCAACTCTAAATGTGTGGACAATGACAGGCAAAGGTAGAGAGCTGGCTGACATGATGCAGAGAAGGAAGGTAGATGTTTTATGTGTCCAAGAGACCAAGTGGAAGGGCAGCAAGGTTCACAGCATTGGAGCAGGTTTAAACTGTTTTACCATGGTGTGGATAGAAAGAGAAACGGAGTAGGGGTGGTCCTGAAGAAGGAGTTGGCAAAGAATGTAGTAGAGGTGAAAAGAGTGTCAGAAAACTTCAAGGTGGAGAAAGGAGTGCATCAAGGATCGGCTCTGAGCCCCTTCTTGTTTGCTCTGATGATGGACCGACTAAAAGATGAAGTCAGGCAGGAATCCTCATGGACTATGATGTCTCTGTGAGCCGTGTAAGACAGAGTACATGTGTCTGAATGAGAAGGAGACAGGTGGAACAGTGAAGCTACAAGGAGTAGAGGTCACAAAGGTGCAAGACTTCAAGCACTTGGGGTCCACTGTCCATGAACATGGGGAGTGTGGTAAAGAGGTGAAAAAAGAGTCCAGGCAGGAAGGAGTAAATGGAGAAAAGTTTCAGGAGTGATTTCTGACAAAAGGGTGTCAGTAAAGGTCAAAGGAAAAGTTTACAAGACAGTGGTGAGACCAGCTGTGTGGTATGGTCTGAAGACAGAGACATGGACAAAAAGACGGGAGAAAGAACTGGAAGTGGCAGAAATGAAGATGTTGATGAGGTTCTCCTTAGGAGTGACAAGGATGGATAAGATTAGGAATGAGATCATCAGAGGTACAGCACAGGTTGAACAACTGGGAGATAAAGTTAGAGACCAGACTGAGATGGTTTGGACATGTCCAGAGGAGGGACAGTGGGTATACTGGTAGAAGGATGTTAGAAATGCAGCTTCCAGGATGACAAAGAGGAGATATATGGATGCAGTTAGAGAGGACATGCAGTTGGTGTGAGGACAGAGGATGCAGAGGACAGAGTGAGATGGAGGATGATTCGCTGTGGCGACTCCTGAAGAGGGAAAAGCCCAAAGAAGAAGAAAATTAGCCGTTAGCTCATTGACTTGATCAGAATTAAAGTGTTTCTACAAATTGAGGTCATTCAAAGAGCCATCTACAGCGGGTAAGATACTAATTGTTATAGCCTTTCCATAGAACCCCACTTAAAAAAACAATTGTTTTAAAGATTCATGCTCTCAGAAACTAACAACAACAACCTCTAATTCAATATTAAGATAAAGCTTGAAATTCTTAATTTTATACATCTGACTGCTATTTCCTGACACATTTCAGATAAAGTTCATGTGAATGCATTTGTTACTATGCCAAAAAAAAGTGTATTGTAATATATAACATGTTGATGTAGGGAGATAAAATATTAGAATAAGTATGTAAATGGCAAAAAAAAAAAAATTTTTTGTAGTGGAGTCTTTTTGGTTGGTTTTACTAAAGTCAAATAAAGTAAACGCGGTCTTTGCATCACAGTCATGAACGATGTCTGTTTCCTGCTTGCTGCTCTTCACTGGAGCTCAGACTAATATGACTCTTTGCTCAAAACGTCCTTTCATACCGAGTCTTTTGAGGTTTTGGATGAATCAGAAAGAGACAATCCTTAGAGAGAGGCACAGACAAAATCATACATGTTGAACACAAGTTTCTGTTTCCCAGAGCCTATAACAGTAACTGCAGTGTAGTTGAGTGAAGAATACAATAAAAACCACATGAACCTGCATAAAAGGCACGTTTCAGATGGAGTTTCTGTACCTGTGGTGTAAGGCTCACTGTTGTTCTGGCCACAGTTCTTCATTTTGACGGGCGACAGGCAGAGAGGCTTGACCACCTTGTGCGTTCCCTCACACCAGTAGGAGGTGCAGAGGGCCAGGATGGAGAGGGTCAGAGCCAGAGTGGTTAAAGTCAGAGAGAGCATGGAGCGAGAGCGACGGGACATGTGCTCCAGCATGGCCACAAAAGAGAGGATGGAGGCAGGGGGGCGTGGGCAACAAGGGGGGGCCAGGCAGAGACAGAGGACAGAGCAGGAACAGGAGAGGAAATAACTGCAGCTGGAGTTGTAGCTGACAGGTTGAGGCAAATCCTTTGGTGAGATTTTAGGAGTTGATGCCAACTTTTAACATGAAGCACTGATGTAACAGCAGATACAGCTGACAGGGTAACACTGAAACATCAGTGATTAAAATAAAAAGTGGAAGGACAGAAAGTAGAAATGATGGTCAAGAAGGGATTGATGTTTGTACGGTGGGAAAGAACAGTGGGATGTCGGTGTGTTAGAAGAGATTGTCCATCAATGCCCTGACTCTGAACTCTTTTAACCCTGGCTGGGTTAGATCTGTGGCTGTGCAAGTATCAAAAAACAAAAGGACTTTTAATTAGATATAGTAAAAGTTGTAAATGTGATATAAAGAACATCCTTAAAATGGTTCATCACCTGACAAAAAAAATTAAATTCAACTCTTGACTGAAGCACACACAGACCATGGGGGCCACGTCAAACTTTATCAAACGTTCTTTCAGTCTCTACCTGAGCTCAAAAACATCCTCCAGCTGTTAATAGGACGGATTTATGGAAGGTTAAGTCATCTGACCCTGACTAATACCATTACGCCTCTTGACTATCACACTCAGTCCTGGGTTGGCTGCTTACTGTGAACTTCCCCGCTGGATGTCAAGAGTTGGACAAGACTCAGCAGCACAAAACAAAGAGTTCCTTTTTTTTTTATTTACGACTTTCAAGATGAGCCACAGATTTAACTGGATTTTACTTTTACTGATAATCCCTGGAGATCTGCTCTAATCTGTGTGTGTTAGTTGTATTTCAGTGTGAAGTGCAATCTGACCATGTTGTCTGTCATGCATCACATCACTGTCAGCCCACAGACCCTGAAAAACAAGAATTTGGGGTTGGTTGGTTGGAGAGTAAATGAACTTACAATTAGTCAAATGTGGAAAAATGATGTTGGATGACATCACAATTATGTAGTATAAAAAGTGATCACATTAAGGCTCAGTTAGGACGTTTATTAGATGCTTTGGTTTGTAGGTGCAGTGCAAATACTTACAGCAATTAGCTTTTTATATCCAGCATGGATTCATTTGATGGGTTACCAGTTGTTTTGCAAAGAAATCATCTTGAAAAACTATTATACCTTTGACAAACTAGTTGTTTTAAATGTAAACTTTAGGGGGGAGAATGATTTAGTTTCATTTACATATTTTATTTTGCTTTCAATAACTCAAATTTAGCATACTTATGTTCATTTATTTTAAGTATTCTAGACTTGTTTTTCTTGGAATAATGCTTCAACTGACTTTTCAACTTAGTCATTTGAATCTTTACATTATCACCATAGTTTATCATTTTTAACTTTGAATTAAGAACATTTCTCTTCACTCTTGTGATCAAGATGAACAAGCTATAGTTAAAAGTTTTTAACCCAAAAATGAAATTACTGAAAACATTAAATTCCACCCCAGAGGTAAAATTATTATTTTTTTAATTCTATTCTTGTTGATAGTTCAACTAATATTATTACAGGGCGTTCAAGACCGGACATGTTAAATTCCCAAAAAGCTCCTTCCAGCTGGCACAAATTTTTTTTATTTTTTGACAAAACATTTTTCCCCATTATGTCTCTCCTAAGGTTAAAGTATTTATGTATGCATCATTTAGACATCCTGACAAAACAAGCACTTAAGAATCATAAATGATAAAGTGCTAACACGTTCAAGATGTTTTTAAAGAAACGTCAATGCACTGATTATTAAAATACTTAAAATATTTTTAATAACTGATAAATCTTTAAGACAAACGATACCTACCAAAGTTCATTTTTTTGCAGTATTGTGTGAAACAAAGTAGTTTGTTGTAGAAATTATTGTATTTGTCACTTCTTGCAGTCTTCTGAACCCATAATCTTCTGTATTGTTAAATCAAGAAGCCCCTTAAAAGTAAAACTGAACTCCTCCATCGTTAAACTCTACAACAGCACGCTCCTCGTCTGTATCCTCTGCACGTCTCCAGTTCTCTCCTCCTGGATGAGCATCAGTGCTCCTTACCTCTCCAGCTGTAATCCTGCAGGTTAATGGATGGATGAAGACGTGAACTGATGGAGGAACAAAGTGTCCGTCTCCACGCAAATCTACTCTCTTTCCTGTCTTTCTTGGGAATTCATGTCACAAACCCATCCTGAATCATGTAATCCCTCCAAGTCCATCTGCTGCTGCAGTGCCCCCTCGCTTCCTGTTTGTCCAATTTCAGAGTTTCCTCCTCAGCGTTCCTACAACAAAATGAGCTGCACTACAAGAATCAGTCTGGAATCAGCCATAGCTTGAACCCAGTTCATTTTTATTTTAAAAGATATTTGTCCAAAGAAATTAAGCAGAAATTAAATTACCGGTACAGCAAAAAAAAATTACAATAATGTATTTACAGTGCGTGCACATAAAAACTCAAAGGAAGCAAATACAAAAAGGAAGGGGGGAAAAAAAAATTAAGTTTAAGGGATAAATGAAATAGGACATCAATCCAATCAGGTAATTAACCCCAGGCTTGAGATTTACAGTAATGCAGAACTAGTTTGCCATCGCTGCCGAAACACTGAAAAAGGAGAAAGGGAAAGAGAAAAATGCAAGAAATGAGTCACGTGTATGTTGGTTCTGAGTTATTTAAAATAAAATAAATAAATTGTTAATGGCTTGGAAAAATACAATTGTATTATGTTAAATAAAAGAATGATCAGCTGCTCCCAGATTTCTCCATCATTAAGGATCAAGTCTATGATCAGAGATTGATTTTTTTTTTTTTACTTTTCTCAAATGAAGTTTTCATCTTTGTGCTCCCTCTGCTGGTCAACTAACACAAACTGAAATTAGAGCCAGACTACTGATATAATATTTCATGAAGGTTCAATAAACTAATACAATACAGTAAAGATATTCATAGATTCCAGCATATATCAATAATGCTTAAATTTACATTTGAAAGACTTCAGTTTCTTTCTGACAGAATGATTGCTGCCTACAATCGAAACAGATAATGCTGCTACTATTTTGTGAACTATACACAGGGTTTCTGCAAGTTTTAGTCCAATTTAAGACCTTTTAATGACCAAGGAAATAAGAAGTCATTGTAAAATGTCTTTCAAAGTAACAAATTTTAGTGTTCAAACACAATAAAGGTCATTTAAAAAACAACAACAGACCAGTTCAGGAGCAGAACAACTGGATTATTAAACAGGCAAAGCTGAATATCCATAAATAATTTCTTTATGACAGTGCTGATGCATGATGGGCCTTTTAGTTTTATTACAGCATAACTTAAAAATCCTTAGAACTATGACATACAGAACAAATTAATGCAAACAGTGCATAAAAAAGGTTGATGGGAAATCTTTTTAAGGCCTAAAGTAAGATTATTAAATTTGAGACTGTTTATGTTTTAAGACCCAGCAGAAACCTTGTATACAGTATTAAATGTATTTCTGTTGGGTGAAACATGTCTGAAATACTTACAGTTTGTTTACATTTTAGTCTTGAATATGTCTCAATAGCATATTAAATCAGTTAATCACTTAACAAATATGATAAAAAAGGACTTGTAAAGTTTGTGTACTGTATTTGTTGCAATGTGTTTTAACAAAAGACTGACGAAGACAGCTATAGTCGTACTTTTGAAAAGCTAATTTTAGGATGACAACATGCTATGTTCTTTAAAGAAAAGTTTAGAGTATATGTACATATACAAACCGGATTCCAAAAAAAGTTAGGACACTAAACAAATTGTGAATAAAAACTGAATGCAATGATGTGGAGATGGCAAATGTCAATATTTTATTTGTAATATAACATAGATGACAGATCAAAAGTTTAATCTGAGTAAATGTAACATTTTAAAGGAAAAATATGTTGATTCAAAATTTCACAGTGTCAACAAATCCCCAAAAAGTTGGGACAAGTAGCAATAAGTGGCTGGAAAAAGGAAATTGAGCATAAAACGAACAGCTGGAAGACCAATTAACACTAATTAGGTCAATTGACAACATGATTGGGTATAAAAAGAGCTTCTCAGAGTGTCAGTGTCTCTCAGAAGCCAAGATGGTAAGAGGATCACCAATTCCACCATTGTTGCGCAGAAAGATAGTGCAGCAATACCAGAATGGTGTTACCCAGCGTAAAATAGCAAAGACTTTTAAGTTATCATCATCAACCGTGCATAACATCATCAAAAGATTCAGAGAATCTGGAACAATCGCTGTGCGTAAGGGTCAAGGTCGTAAAACTCTACTGGATGTTCGTGATCTCCGGGCCCTTAAACGTCACTGCACCTCAAATAGGAATGCCACTGTCAAGGAAATAACAGAATGGGCTCAGGAATACTTCCAGAAAGCATTGTCAGTGAACACAATCCACCGTGCCATCCGCCGTTGCCAGCTGAAACTCTACAGTGCAAAGAGGAAGCCATTTCTAAGCAAGCTCCACAAGCTCAGACGTTTGCACTGGGCCAGGGGTCATTTAAAATGGAGTGTGGCAAAATGGAAGACTGTTCTGTGGTCAGATGAGTCACGATTTGAAGTTCTTTATGGAACACTGGGACGCCATGTCATCCGGACCAGAGAGGACAAGGATAGCCCAAGTTGTTATCAACGCTCCGTTCAGAAGCCTGCATCACTGATGGTATGGGGTTGCATGAGCGCTTGTGGCATGGGCAGCTTGCATGTCTGGAAAGGCACTATTAATGCAGAGAACTATGTTCAGGTTCTAGAACAACATATGCTCCCATCTAGACGTCATCTCTTTCAGGGAAGACCCTGCATTTTTCAACACGATAATGCCAGATCACATTCTGCAGCAATCACAACATCATGGCTACGTAGGAGAAGGATCCGGGTACTGAAATGGCCAGCCTGCAGTCCAGATCTTTCACCTATAGAGAACATTTGGCGCATCTTAAAGAGGAAGGTGCAACAAAGAAGGCCCAAGACGACTGAACAGTTAGAGGCCTGTATTAGACATGAATGGGAGAGCATTCCTATTTCTAAACTTGAGAAACTGGTCTCCTCTGTCCCCAGACGTCTGTTGAGTGTTGTAAGAAGAAGGGGAGATGCAACACTGGTAAAAATGGACTTGTCCCAACTTTTTGGGGATTTGTTGACGCCATGAAATTTGGAAACAACAGATTTTTTCCTTAAAATGATACATTCTCTCAGTTTAAACTTTTGATCTGTGATTTGTGTTCTATTCTGAATGAATAAAATATTAGATGTTGGCACCTCCACATCATTGCATTCAGTTTTTATTCACAATTTGTTTAGTGTCCAAACTTTTTTGGAATCCGGTTTGTATAATAGGATCATTAAACCATACAAACTCACATCAAAGAGGACTCCTACTTCTTGATCGGGTGAAGGAGAAAAAGACTGATTAACATAGATGAACTGAAAAACAAAAAACAAAGTTATCTATAAGGACTTTACAAAGCAGCGGTATAACCTTAATATAACCCTGACATATTTTGAGAAAACGTTGAGCCAAACCATGCTCACCAGTTGTTCGTTAGCATCAAACTTGAGAAAGCGAGATATGAACTGTGCTAGGGACTGCACCGTCCTGCCCCTGTCAATCGCCCACTTCCTTGTTTTCATTATAGGAGTGTCTCCCACCGCCTTCAACAGCACATCAACTAAAAAAAAACAGAAAAATGAAACCAGCTGCTGCGAGTCTATTTCTCAGACAAATCTGAACTTGAAGTGTTCAGTTGAACTGATGAGTTCTCATGAAAAGCACCACCATGGCTTCATGGCTTTATAACCTGCGTCAGCTTGTTTTCACTGAAGATACTGCATATATTTATGACATCACTTTTAAAGGAAAAACCAAGACAAAACTGTTACGCTTACCTTGCTCTCGCTCTTTTGGCAAAATATGACATCTTTTAAATATTTTTAAATACTTATAGATAAAACCAATCATGTGCATTTAGAAAGATAATTGTTTTCATTATGAGCTTGACAGACAACAGTCTAAAAAATTTTGACTAACCTTTGATACCCAAGTGTTTCTTTACTTTTTTAACTTTCAGCAGATGTAATTACCGTACATTGCTTAGCGTTTTGTGTCATAAATAGTTTGGTAAAATAATAAATGGTCTTACAATCTTTCATTAATAAATATAAATTAATAATCAAAACTATTAGAATGTATTGTATACAACAGATTTCGTGACTTTCAGGTACATGGTAAGGCGGTTAGCGTATTAAACTAGCTTGAACTACATATTTTTGAAATAGTAGACACAAATTTAATAAACATTTGATATGTTTTGACACTTTATATACTCAATATTACATACAAATGCAGATAAGTAATTTTCCTTTTATTTTTTAGCAATAGCATTAGCTTTTTTCCAAAACAGAAACGGTCACGTGCTCAAAAGCTCTACGCTTATTGGTTAAAGACGGAAACGTTTCAATCCTATTGGCTAAGCATGCTGTCAATTTTCTGAACCGGAAGTTGTGTTTCTTTTAGCATTAGCAATAGCTCTCGTGAACAAGATTGTTACCGACAACTAACAAACAGTTATAGTACACTTTGTTACTTTTTTTCTTGTCTTCATTAGTTGCGGAAGAATCTGTCGGTTGTTGTGGCTCTTCTTTTTGTGGTTCCGTTGGGGACTCGGCAGTGTCAGACATCTTCAAAAAACCAGTATGGATTGCCTTTTGCTCCCACCCACTTTACCAGATCACTACGGAACAAATAATACCTGCTATTGGATCAAATAAACGTCAATCACCACAATTTCTATTCCTATTGGTTAATGCCTCGTTTGAAGGCGGGCCATAATAAAAACAGATTCCGACTTCGTTAAGCAAGGTTAGTTTCTCAGACCTTACATTTATCGTGCAGTTAATGTGATTAATACTCGTTGGATAATTATCAAACATCATCTCTGTTAAGTTAATACTTTTTTAGTAAAAGGTTCGTTGATTTTTGTTAACACAGGAGACGTCACATGAAATAACACCAGCTTGAACTGGCAGTTAAAGTTTGAACAGTCCTCTTGAGCCAACAACCCATTACTCCTGCTCAAGCCTAAACCAACAGTAGTAAGTCACATTTCTTTTGTAATAAAGTTTGTTTTGCTAATATGGTACAGGATCAGTAGCTTCAGTGTGGCGTGTTATTTAAATTCCCAAATAATGTTGGAATTTGGACACCTGACCTTGCATTTCTGCAACAAAAGTAATGAATCTGAACTGATAACTGTATCACTCCCGTCACAGTGGCTAACATCGGCAGGCTCTCCACCAAGGACACTGTCCTCTTCCTGTGTGACATGCAGGAAAAATTCAGACCCAACATCTTCCAGTTCACCAACATCGTCAGCAACGCAGCCAGACTTCTCCAGGTAGTTTATACACATCATCTAAATAAACTCCAGCAACTCAATCTTCATTTTTTCATATTCTCTTTTTTCTCTCTTCTCATAGGCATGTCGTGTTCTGGGTATCCCTCCTATTTTGACAGAGCAGTACCCCAAAGGTTTGGGACCCACCGTGCCGGAGCTTGGAGCCGGGGACCTGACAGCTCATCCTAAAACTTCTTTCACAATGATGATCGAGGAGGTGGAGAAGGAGCTGCAGGCCCTGGGAAACCCTAAACAAGCTATTCTGTGTGGAATAGAGGCACACGCTTGCATTGCTGTAAACACTTATAATTGTTTTATTTACAGTGTATTTATTCTGCATACTGTAGGCCAAATTTTAAGAGGCAACAATGTGACATATCTATATGTTATTATTAAGTTGTAAAGCTTTATTGTTTTATAAATAGATGAAAAACTCTTCTTTCCATGTTCAGTGTACAACATATGATCTGCTTGAGAAGGGAATAGAAGTCCATATTGTTGCTGATGCTGTTTCATCCAGAAGGTATTTGTGTTCCACTGCAGCGTTTCTCTTACTTCACATCACCTGAATTAAAGTTTATACACTTTATTCTGGTACGCATTGTGGAAACTCCACAAGTGAGCATTTCTGCAAAAGGTTTCTGCTTCTCTCCCCAGCCAGACGGACCGCTTGTTTGCTCTGTCCCGACTGAAGCAGAGCGGAGCGTACCTCACCACCACAGAGGCTGTGCTGCTGCAGCTGGTTCAAGATGCCAAGCATCCCAACTTTAAAGAGGTGCCTGCTTCCATTTCTGTCTTTCAATGTACAGAGTTTGAGGAAATCCGTTGCCCCAGTTTGGGAAACCATGATATTTTTTTTTTCTTTTCACGTTCATACTCCTGTAGAACAAGCTGCACATCTTAACAGGTTCAGTGAAGTTGAAAAACTAACCAGAAACTTATTGTCAAGGTCAACAATGTCTAAATAGACTATTAAGTCACAAAAGAAGGCAATACACGACAAACAAATTTAAATCAAAATACCGTATTTTCCGCCGTACAAGTCGCTTCAGTCCAAAAATGAAAAAAAAAAAAACCCATAAAAGTTGTTTTGCCGTAGAAGTCGCATCTATTATGTGTCACCGCTGACAACCTGGAAACTTGGGCCGGTGTTTGCCAAAAATCAATTGGCTGCCAAAATAGCGACCGCGGGAGTGTGCAAGGGAGGATGTTAACAAGATTAACACTTAAAAACAATTGTTTGTTTGCTCAAAATTATAGCAAAGGTGTGTCTCAGTTTAACTATTCCTTAATAAATACACTTTAACGGTCAAATCAGATGCATGTCGCCTGGGCGTTGCGGTGGAATGCAGCTGATTTAACATTTGCTCCAGGAGTTCAGGAGCGAGATGAAGGTGGCTTTCTTTGGCAAGCCAAGTGTCTCATTAATGGCCAGTTTTACCTGTTAATGAGACACTTGGCTTGCCGTATTTAGCGACTGCAAATGAAAATGTTTAATATTTTTCATGTCAGAATGAATGAGATCGTCAGCTGTCAGCCAAAAATTGGGTTATGAATATGGGGGAAAAACGTATATTAGTCGCTTTGGCGTATAAGTTGCAGGACTTGCAAATGTATGCAAAAAAGGAGCGACATATACGGTGAAAAATACGGTAATTCAGTTGTCTATTTGGAGCCAGCTGATAAAAAAAAATATTCAAAGTTGAACATATTTTTAACTATCGGAATGACATTAACTAGAAACATAATTCTTGCTGTCAGTTCAGCCAGTAATAAAGATTGTATTATTAAGTCAGATGTTGCGAATCGTAAGCGGTTTTTAAACCTTACTTGCATCAAATTCTGTTTCTCTTATGTGACCAGCGCCACACTGAAAACAAAGTTTAACACAACACTCGCAGCCCATGCAGGCCCTGCTCAGACCTAAGATCACTCTTGGGTGATAGAACTGCAAGCTGTGGGCTCTGAGTCAAAGTATTAACACCTGGCAGTGTAATGTGCAACCAAACACATTATCTCAGTAATTACAAGTACAATTACAAATTGTTACAATACATTCAGACATCTGAACGACATTAGTATTTTGACATTAACACAGTTCGGATCAGATTTATGTGGAGTTATCTCGTAATAGGCTTGATTACTGAACTGACACAGTATGAGGGAAATAAACCAGCAAACAATGACGAGTGACTTCCTGAAGTTCTGTCTCTGTCGTGGGGTGACGTCAGTTCAGTAGGAGCATGGATTGTGTTCAAACGACCAAACCAACACAAATAAAACATCTCCAGACCACTTCTGAATGTGGTTTGAGTGAAAATGTTTTCAATGCACATTTAGGCCGTTCAGACCTGTTTTTAGTTCTATTGATTGCTTAGGATGGATTTTTTAATCAAAGTCTTTTTATTGATTTTGTTTTTTTAAAACACACACTCACTCAAATAACATACAACAAAGTTCCCAACCACCCTACCCCTCCCACACCGGATCAGCTACACAGACATGAATACATCAGGCAGGCGCTGACATACTTTCAATATAAGATACAAAAAACTGCCAAGTGTCCCAGAATCTCTCAACAGGTCCTTTCAGAGTAAATTTAATCTTTTCCAAATGAATATGACACATAACTTATCCAGTGTTCATATGCAGGGGGACGCGGATCCTTCCGTGTGCATAAAACAAGTCTCCTGGCTAGCAGAGAACCAAAAGCAATCATATTCCTCTCGTACTTGCTGAAGGATGCATCCACTGGGACAACCCCAAACAATGAAAGGAATGGTGACGGGTGTACAGTTTTTCCGCATTTCCCAGAGATGATGTCAAAAATAGATTGCCAGTAGCCCTGCAGCCTGCACTCCTATACACATTCTGGACCAGAACGTGTGTAGGAGTGTAGCTGGAGTTTGTTTACGACAATTACGTGCAGGATCCAGGTCAGTTTTGATCTTGGACAGTTTATCTTTGGACCAGTGCAGCCGGTGCACCACCAGTGTGTCTCAGACAGATTGAGGATGAATAAATGTTCTGAATGATCCTTGGCCAGACTGAGTCTGATATGGATTCCTTCAAGTCTGTTTCCCACTTCAGCTCGAGTCCAAACTGGTGCTTAGGATGGATTTGAATAAGTTTTGTTTCCCCACCTGTCACCTGCCAGGCTCCATAAAATTTCGCCTGTTTTTCAAACTAAAATAGTATGTCTTTAAGTTGCTTTCAGGCGCAGCACTTTTATTTTGAAGTTTGAGGACTTTATTGTCAAATGCTCTTTGCATGTGAAGTTCCTTCAGCTACGTCTGGCTCTTGTGCTTCAGATGTTCTAAGTGTATGTGACTGACTGATGTGAACTTTGTTGGCAGATCCAGAAGCTCTTGGCCCACCCGTCTCCGGACACCGGCCTCCTGGCCTTCTTCAGTGCACTGTAGAAACCTCACCTCCTGTCCCAGTGCTCCACCCCCCATCTGTCACCAACACACAGATAAAGTCTACATGTTAATAAAAAGCTCAAATAATCCTCAAAGTGTGTTCTAACTTTTGTGTTGGTGTGTCAGAATCAAAACCGCCGTGAGTGTGGAAAGTTCAGGCGTGCTGTGAAACCCTGCCGGTGAGGAGGTGGGACCAGTTTCCTGAGGCGGGTGCAAAGAGTGATCTCACCCAAAGGGGGGAGGAGTGAGTGACGTCTTTCTGGTAAAAGTCAGAAAGGGAGGGGAAGGAGAGAGAGGGAGGGAGAGAAAAAGGAAGTTCTGCGATCAGTATTTTGTGTCTATTTTTTCCTAAAGTTGAACAAACTTTGACGGACTGAAGGTCACCTGGAGGCACAGGGGGGGTCCGGGATGCTGAGCTGGGGGATCTGATGGGCAGGAAGGACACCAGTTTGTCAGATGTTGTGCACAGCTGATGACAGCATAAAATATTAACTCTTTTCCAGGCCTTGGGCCTCGAGTGACCACAGAAAGGTAAGCAACAGGAAAACTTCTTCCTTGGAAATCTCAAGCGGAGATGGAGGTGTGTGTCGTTATCGTCATGTCTTTAGGCTTGTGGGCGGAAAATTCCCAGCGCAGCTCAGTGTGTGTGTGTGTGTGTGTGTGTGTGTGTGTGAACTTCCAGTTTATTGTTTGACGAGTGGAAGAACAGGAACAGAGTTCTACAGTGTTTGCCCTCTCTCTGTCCCAGGAACACAAAAAACCTAAAGGGACATGTTGATGCAGAAACTTTCTCTTCTGATCCCTCAGATCCTGGACAGAGAAGGACAAAAATGTCTTCTGACCTGGACTCCAGTCTCACCAGCATTGACTGGCTGCCCAAACTGGGAATCAGCAGCCTGCGCTCGGGGAAAGAGAGAGAAGGAGGGGAGAAGAAGCGAGACAGAGGTAGGGAGAGGGGGGACTTCATACCCTCAGTGCCGAGCCCCTCTCCCTCCAACTGTAAAGGGAAGCCCCCTCACAGCTACGCCACCCTCATCGCCATGGCGATAGCAGCTGCACCTGAGAGGCAGCTGAGTTTAAACGACATCTACACCTGGATCAGCGACACCTTCCCGTACTACAGCCGAGCGGGCCGAGGATGGAAGGCAAGCGTCACCGTCTGTCTGCACTTTTCCCACAAACGTTGATCACTGACCCGTTTCCCTCCCAACAGAACTCCATCAGACACAACCTGTCCCTGAACAAGTGCTTCAGGAAGGTTCCTCGGCCGCAGAGCGACCCCGGCAAGGTGAGCGGAGGCTGGAGCTGGACGTGGGCGGCTGTTTGAAGTCTACGCCACATGAGGAGAACAAATGTTTGTTAAGAAACAGGAGATTAAACTTGTCTCTGTTTTCAGGGCTCCTATTGGACGATGGATGGACCGTCAGATGTGACTGAAGTGAGGGCCCCTAAACGACCCTATCCCAATGAAGACGACGAAGAAATAGAAGAAGAAGGGGAGGAGGATGTATGTTTTTAAAAGTTATTCCTTATTTAATTCAAAGCTTAGTGTTCCTCGAAAGAAACCTGCCAGTTTTAAACTGACATCATCTGATAGTGAGAAAAACAAATTTTGTTGACTCTTTGGTCAAACCTTGAAAACAACAAATATGTTCAATCCCATGCGATGATACCACGTTATGTTGTACTCATAGTGTTAATGACTCTCAGCTACTACCACAGCCGATTTTAGCTCAATACAGTATATCAGAATAAGCTTTATTATCACTGTACCGAGATACAACGAGAATATGTCCGTACAGTCATCCGAAAGATGGACGGAGTGCACGTAGCTGCTGCTATATAGCGCGGCCTTCTTATCCTTTTCAGAATACATTTTTTAGATAGAAAAAAGGGAAAAAGCCATGAGGAGAGGATGGTGGCATTACAAAAAAAAAGATCTCTTCACACCTTGTCCTAACAGGACACAATTTAAGACATCAAAAAACCCCTGCCAGCAGCACATTTACAGTGCCTTTCGAAAGTATTCGGCCCCCTTGAACTTTTCAACCTTTTGCCACATTTCAGGTTTCAAACATAAAGACATAAAATTTAAATTTTTTGTGAAGAATCAACAACAAGTGGGACACAATCATGAAGTGGAACGAAAATTATTGGATGTGTCAAACTTTTTTATCAAAAAACTGAAAAGTGGGGCGTGCAATATTATTTGGTCCCCTTGCGTTAATACTTTGTAGCGTCGCCTTTTGCTGCAGTTACAGATGAGGGTTCTCCAGGACCCTGTCGCTTTGTTGAAAATAGTTTGTCATTTGCATCGAAAGTCCAGTTGGTCTGATCCAAAACAGTAGTTTTCATTTTGGAAGATGTGTAAAAATAGGAGCTGCTCTTATACACAGACAGAGAGCCAAAAAGCAGGAGGAGAACAGGGAGAGGGAAGAGAACGCGTGCGCCTCGCTACACAGCCAGTGAGGAAAAAAAAAAAACAACTAGCTGAGATCTAGCCAATTCTATATTTACTAAAGTCAACTAGCTTGAATTGGATTGACTTTAAAAGCTAATCTGTTGTAGATGAACATCCAGGGAGTACCCAACAAAGTTCAATCAGGTCATCTGGATGGTTTCTTTTTTTGTTGAGACATTTCATCCGCATTTGAGCCACAAGAAACTGAGTCCCACAGTTTGATGGTGATAAGATGGTTTCTGGAGTTCGCCCTCTCCTCCATCAACTCCTCTGAGGCAGCCATAGCCAAAGTGGTTCAAAACATTAAAGTTCATGCTCAATAATTGATAATAATTATCGATTAATAATTAATAATCCATCGTCTTTAACAATAATTGATGTTTTGAACCACTTTGGCTATGGCTGCTTCAGAGGATTTGACGGGGGAGAGGGCGGGCCCCAGAAACCATTATCGCCATCAAACTGGTTGGCCCACTATGTGAGTCTGCTGCTTGTGGAAATGAGTTTGTTGTGGCTCCCTGGACTGAAGAAGTCCTTTGGATGAAGGATGAAACGTCTCAACAAATAAGAAACCATCCAGAGGACCTGACTGAACTTTGTTGGATTTTCTACCTGGATTATGGAGCATGAACTTTGATCCAGTGATTACTTTTTGAAAGTTTCCTTAAAATCCATTTAGTGGTTCATTAGATATTTTGCTAACAGACAAGTTTAGTCAAATAGTTACTGGTAACAGCAACATTCTAAACTAAAATCGTGTGCAATCTGGTAGTTGTGAGAATGTTTTTGGGATGACTCTCAGCTACTACCACACCAAAATTTAGGTCAATTTTAAGATCGACAGTTAGAAACACGTTTCTGTTTGCTAAAGTTGATTAGCTGTGGCGGCCATCTTGAATTAGACTGACTCCAAAAATTGATCAGTTGTAGATGTGTATCCATTGATCACTTTTTAAGAGTTTCACTAAATGCTGTCCAGCAGTTCATGAGATATTTTGCTAACAGACGGCCCACATTGACTAATAGATAAGGCAACATTTTAAAAACATGTTATTTGATATCAATTATTGCTTGGAGTATAAGTTGGGTATGATTCTCAGCTTCTGTCACTTAAAAGTTTAGCTCTATTTCTGTAAAACTACCTAAGTTTGAGCCATTTTTGCTACTTTCTCTCGCCTTCGGCTGTGGACGATACTGAGGGACGACTTTTGCACAGCACTTATAATTTAACATTCACCCAAGGTTTCTGGGTTTCTTTCATACAAACCTTTCGCCAAAAAGACAGTAAACTTAAAACGAAATTAAGTTGGAACTCACGGTTGATCCCAATCGATGATTCAACTACCGCTGTCGTTTAAATTCAGGGTTTTGAGTATTTGATGCATTTTACTCACTTTATATTCTTTTGAAGTACCGATACTCGGCGTCAGTTTGTTTTGTTTACATGTACAGATATACAGTAATTTGTCAGATGTGTTGTTGTTGCTGTTACTTCTGTGATAGAAATTGTCTGTAGAAACAGGTTTTGTGGATTAGTCATTCCTCATGTTGTATTCAGAGCGGAGATGGGTGTTGCAAAACCTGAGCGCCTGCTGATTTTTCTCCGGTTTTTGTTTTGCTTCGTGTTTCGCTCCGTATTTCAGCCGAACCTTTTATCTTCGGCTGCAACGCCGCATTCCTACAGGATTTCCGGGCCTTAAACGCGTTCTTAAAATGACTTTGCTGTCGCAGGTTCCTCAGGCGGCGCAGATCGAAGCTTTGAGAGGACCGTCTCCTCATCAGATACAGATACCTTCTCCCGTCGGACCCCCACAGCAGCACTCCCCCCGCTCTCCTGTCCCTCACAAGGTAGACCCCCTTTTCTCCCTTCTCATGTTCCACACATGTCAGTTGGGAGTTACATGTATCTTTCTCTTCCCAGCAACCGTCACCTTACATGCCAGCCCACATCTCCAGTACGCCTGCCTCCTGTTTATCTGGCCCCCAATCATCCGGGCTCCCGCCTGCGGCCCCCACATCCTCCATCAACTCTTTTCTTCCTCCCCACCCGCCTGGCTCCACCTTTTCCATCCCCGTCGTTTCTGTCGCTCCTTCGCCTGTCAGCATGTCTTTGGTCTCTCCGGCTGCGCCCTCGTTCTCCGAGGCGACGCTGTCCTTTCCCGCCGCTTCAGACCCCCCACCCGCCCCCGCTTTTCCCTGCAACTCCACACCCGGGCCCGTTTGCACCCTGCCAGGGCCCAATTATTCATCCTCCTCTACCACTGCTGCCGCTGCATCGAACCCGTCCGCCGACCCTCCGCTGCGCTTCTCCTTCGATGAGCTGAACATACCGGACTTGTACGCGTCTTTCAAGTCTCTGTTCAAGACGATGCGGGAGAGGGGGGGGTCGCTCTGTAAGTATGCAGGCCCGTTAGCCTGTGTGAAACATTACACGCATGAACAAGGAGGTACTCACATGCTTTCTTCCCCCTGAAGCAGACGTAGGTTCCCTGGTTGTCCCCAGTAATGACACCACACCACTCCATACTCCTACGGTGCTGCCGATGTCCCCGTACCCGACACCTGCACCACCTGCAGCACCCGCACCCCCTCCAACAGCTGCCCAAGCTCCACATCCTCCTGAAACTGAGCGTGTTTCACACGGCAGTAAGTTTGGTTTCACTCCCTCAACACAGGAATGATTGAAATGTGTGAAATCCAGCAGTGTCGTTGATTGTTTTCCAAAGTTGCCCGTCTCTTCTTTCACTGCAGCGGTGCCGCCCGGCTGGTTCAGTAACCAAGATTCTCTGAAGGAGAGCTTCCGAATAGCCAGCAACCTGGACTGGGCACACATCGATCTCACCGGTCATCCAGGTGCGTGCTATTATAAAAATAAAAAATCTTTCATAAAAGGTTGCTTCACCAAAAGTGACAAAATATCCCATTTGTTTATTTATTATCGCCCACAAGTGGAAGTGTGTCAGTCTGTTACCACCACCAAAGGATAACGTTTACTGAACCGTTTTAAATTATTCACTGGATGTTTGGCTACGACTGATTAGCTTTTAGGAGCAACCTGATTCAAGATGCAACAAAGTTAAGTCAGGTCATCTGGACAGTTTATTTTTTTTCTTTTGTTAAACGTTTCGTCCTTCATCCAAAGGACTTCATCAGTCCAAGGAGCCACAACAAACTCAGTCCCACAAGCAGCACACTCACATAGTGGTTGGCCCACAGAATGTGCCGCTTGTGGGACTGAGTTTGTTGTGGCTCCTCGGACTGATGAAGTCCTTTGGATGAAGGACGAAACGTTTAAAAAAATTAACTTTCCAGAGGACTTGACATAATTTTGTTGGATTTTTTAATCTGGATTATTGAGCATGAACTTTGATGCTAATTTAAGATGGCTGCCACGGCCAACTGATCTCGACCAGACCTTTTAAGCTACACAAAACTTAGAAAAAGTCCAGCATTTTCTTGCCCAAGTCCTCACATTAAGTCTACAACCTCTGACATGTTGGTCTTTGTTGCAAAAACTGGGAAGGAAAAAACCTGATATGAAATGATTGAGATCTTTGTAACGTTTAGCAAAAATGCATCTTTGCATAAGAGGCTTTTTTGCAGCCACATGAACTTTATCAATCACATGATCTGACCAGGTTTTCTCTCCCCCCCCCCCCCCCCCAGACCTGCTGGAGAGCATGAAGAAGGCCGAGCTCTGTGACTGGGCCTTGGATCCGGCGCTCTTCACTTCCCTGTGTGACTCTCTGAACCGTTTCTTTTTCGACAAAGGCATGATCAGCTCTGCCAATAATTCCCCCGGCGCACCTCACCCCCTGCAAGCACCGTCGCTGACATCCCACCTGCCTCCAAGCCTCACTCACCTCACTCACCCTTCACCCCTTCCTTACCCTCCAGCCGTTCTTCCCAACAGTGGATCACAGCTGCCGCTCAGGCCCCTGTCCATGCAAGGACCGGTTTTCCAGAGACCACATTTGGTACACCCAGCCAGCACAGCTGGTAAGTCTAGCTTTTAATTATACAGTTTTATTACTTGCAGCTATTTAGTCAAATTTAATCAGGATTTTTGGTTCACTACTCTTGCAGTGCAAGAAGCGGTGCAATGAACTAAAAAAAAAAAAAAAAAGTATAAATGTGTATATATATATATATATATATATATATATATATATATATATATGAGAAAACCCAGCCCTCTTTGGAGCTCCACATCTCAAGATAGAATCATCATTTAAAGTTTAAATGGACCACAGAAAGTTGATGGAAGTGGCATTTTGATGTTTTTTATGATTTCATCATTTTTGGAGATTTGTTGAACTTTGTGGGATGATGTCACTTTTACTTTGGATTTGTTTATACCTAAAATAATAATAATAAAATCCAAACAACCTTGTCCTAATCCCACAGAATTTCTACTTTTTAGACAGATTATACAGGTCCTTCTAAAAAAATTAGCATATTGTGATAAAGGTCATTATTTTCCATAATGTAATTAACCTAACCATCTAAATCAATGGCGTAACTCTAAACACCTGCAAAAGATTCCTGAGGCTTTTAAAAACTCCCAGCCTTGTTCATTACTCAAAACC